GCAGTGTGGCAGTGCCCAGGTTTTCCCCGGGAGAGGGCAGAGGAGCTGCTCCGAGAGCACTCACAGCTCGTGGTGAGGGGGAGTAGAAAGGCTGAGCCCAACTCCCCCTCCTGCCCCTGCCCCCTGGTGAGCTGGGGGTGAAGCAGGAGGGAAAGGTGCTGCTGCTCCAGCTTTTTGACTGAGCAGCAACAGGAAAAGGGGGATTTTCTGGGCTGCAGCTGTGCCCAGATGTGCCTTGCTGGGGCAGGTCCTGGGACTGGCTGGCTCTGTCTGCACCCTGGGAATGCCCCCTGTGCTCACACAGCAGTTGTGGCCCTGCTGCCTGGCCTGGCCCCTGGCAGTGCCGGGGCAGAGGCCGGAGCAGGATGTCCCAGGGACATGTCAGGAGCTGGGCTGGGTCCTGCAGAGCAACATGGGTGGTGATGGTGGCCCAGGTGGGATCCAGGTCCTGCACTGCTGGGAGGCTCTTCAGACCCAGTAAGAGGAACTGAGAAGGGATGGTTACAGGGGGGGAAGCACCTCCAGCCCCAGTGATGGGATTTTCTGCCTCTGTGTGCTGAGCGAGTTCAGTCTCACCAGCTCGATGGATCAGCTGCTGTTGGGCAGGAGTGTGGTGGAAAAGGAACTGGTGCTGCCTCACCAGTGTGCCTCACTGGTGCTGGCTGACACCAGCCCAAGTGTCCTAGGGGGTTTCCTGATCCGCTTTGGGAATTTTTTGTTGTTGATATTTTTTGTAATGCTGTGGCTCAGTGGTGTCCATGTCCAGAGGAGATGACACCCGTGGGCACACGGTGCCACCAGCTCAGCCCACAGGTGACACCTGGGGAGGCAGCAGCCAGTGGGTGTCCAGGGCTGGGAGTGTCTCCGTGGGATCCCAGAGCTGCTCCTTCCTCCAGGCAGCCCAGATCTGGGGCTGGGTTTGTAGTGAGAGATGAATTTGTGTTCTCTGGAAAGTTTCAAGGGAAATGAAGTGGCCACTTTGAGTCAATCTGAGAGGAAAGCACTCTTTACTTGGCGGAGAGCCGTGGGAAGGTGTCCTGCAAGATGCCTCCTGTATTCTTGCGGCATCCCTGCAGCATCCTCCCACAGCTGGGAGCTGTAAATCCCAGCAGTGAATCCTGGTGATCCTGGTGCCACTGGAACAGTGCAAACCCCGGGGGGCGAGTCCCTGCTCCAGGCTGGGCCTGGGACTGGATTTGGGGAGCCCCAGCCCAGGGTCCCTGCAGAGCTGGGGGGCAACACATCCCCAGGGAGAGGGGACACATTTCATGAGGCTCCACCACCAGTGGGACTGGGGAGAATGTCACAAAGGGAACTGTGACATCACCAGCTCTGAGGTGGTGCCAATGGAAACCCTGCCTATGTTAGAGGGTCTTACCAGGCACCTCTACCCTGCCCCAAAAAGGACCCAGACGTGCCTTGCTGGGGCAGGTCCTGGGACTGGCTGGCTCTGTCTGCACCCTGGGAATGCCCCCTGTGCCCACACAGCAGTTGTGGCCCTGCTGCCTGGCCTGGCCCCTGGCAGTGCCGGGGCAGGGCAGAGGCCGGAGTGGGATGTCCCTGGGACACATCGGGAGCTGGGCTGGGTCCTGCAGAACAACGTGGGTGGTGATGGTGGCCCAGGTGGGATCCAGGTCCTGCACTGCTGGGAGGTTCTTCAGACCTGGTAAGAGGAACTGGGAAGGAGTGGATACAGGGGGAGGCACCTCCAGCCCCAGTGATGGGATTTTCTGCCTCTGTGTGCTGAGTTCAGTCTCACCAGGATGCTCAAGGCTGTTTGAGCAGCATGTAGGTGACACCAAGCCACCCAGGTGACACCAGGCCACAGGACCTGTGTGGTGTGGTCACTGTCTGGCCGTTTGCAGCACAGATCCAGCTGCTTTTCCAACAGGGAAGCCCCAGCAGTGCTGAAACCTTGTATTGTCTCTGTGCTCCTTCTACTGATGCTTTGGAGAAACTCCCAAATGAAGCATAAAAATGCAATTTCCTAATTTTCTTCCTCCTGCTGCCCCTAAATCTGGTGTTTTTACCAGAGAGGACCAGGTGAGTTTGTGCAAAGGCCCAGCAGTGGCTCACAGCGAAATTTGTTATTTGCTTCTTGCAGGCTGATGGGAGGGGAATAGAATTCAGTGATTGGTTTTGACAAAATGATACATTTGCTGATGAAGCAGCCATTTCACAAATTAAATTGCTGGCTGGGCACCCTGGGGCTTTCCCGGCTGAGGTTCCTAGCGGGGCAGGGCAGGGGAAAGGCTGACGAGATGTAATTAGTGATGGAGGAATGAGGGGGGAGCAGGAAGGATATGCCCTTTCCTAGGGAGCTGTAAATCCCAGCAGTGAAGCTGGGACCAGGTGGGAGATGGAGTGGGTAGTCTGGATCCTGCCATGGACAAGCAGCTCAGGTTGTTCCTGTTTTTCCCATGGAAGATGGAACAGGAGGGAGTTCTGCTGCTGGGAAATGGTGCTGAGTTGGTGCTGAGAACACGAGGTTACAGTGTGTGAGTCCCTGAAGGGTGTCCTTGCTGCACACAGGGCTTTTTGGCCTCTATTTCCAAAGCAGATGGAGCATTTTCCTAACTCTGAGAGCCAAATTCACTAGGAATTGCTGGGGAGAATGATGAGAGGCAGCTGAATCTTATCTCTGCACTTCAGGCTTGTTTCCAGTGTTCAGCACAACAGTGCTTAAAGAGTGCTTTGAACACACAGTGTTTAAAGAGCTGAAAAGGAGATTGATAAACTGTGTCTGACTTGACAGTGATTACCAAGGCAGTGCCAGGCAGGTCCAGAACAGGAGAAGAGGTGATCCTGGTGCTGCCAGATGCCAGTTCACACCTGGTAGCAGCAGGGACTCTTGAGATGAGTGGAATGAGGACAAATACAAGGACAGAAATGCTCAGGAACAAGCCCTGGTGCATCTGCAGGAGAAGAGGGGCAATAAAGGCAAAGGTGGTGCTGGGTCAGACTGAGCCTCTTCACCCACTGAGGGTGGCAGGGTGAGCCCCCTGTGTCACTGTTTAGCTGGCCTGGCCCCACAGGAGCCCCTGTTTGCAAGAGCAGCCCCACAGCAAATGTGGGCTGGTGTCCAACCACACCTTGGAGCTCATGGCCACCCCAGGCAGGGGCTGCTGAAGAGGACCACGGTGTGTGGAGCCTCCTTCCTCCTGGAAAGCAGCCCCAGTGAGGCTCGTGGGCACCAGCCGTGCCCAGGGTGTGCTTGAGCTCGGCCCTTCTCCCTGCAACTGCTGCTTTCTCAGCTCCTCAGCCACTTTCCTCTCTCTTGGTGCCCCTTCCTCGGAGGGTTTCAGCTTTAGTTGTGGGGGTTGGAGTTTGACTCCCTGCCCATGTTGGCAGAGGTGTGTGGGGTTGGAGGCACCTGGCACAGCCCGGTCTGCCAGCGAGTGCTGGTACCAGGGGGATGTTTGGCGTGTTCCTGCAGAAAGGCACGTTTGAACAATTCCTTAGGGAAATGGGGTCTCACAGGAAGGTTTCCTTGGCTCTTTGGATCCCCACAGACAGGTCAGGCAGAGCTGGGTGCTGCTGTGTTGCATCAGGGCTAAAGCTTCTCTGCATTAGATCAGCTCCATGTCCCCCATGCTCCCAGTTTGTACTGGGCCCGGAGTTCTTCCCAGAGCTCCCCTGGGAAACTGCTGTATTTTCTGCCCTCCCTTTTGTCCCTGAGCTGGACAATGGTGCCAGCTCTGCCCTGCTGGGTGTGTTGAGACTCTCCTCTGGTCCCAGCAAATCCTGGGAAGAGCCTGTGGGAAGAGGTGACGTGGCTCATGGTGCTGAGGGGCTGCTCTTCCCCCATGGCCGTGGTGTAAAATAGAAAATTCAGAGTATCTACCAAACAGGTCCAAAAAATAGCCCCTTCCTCTCCCAGTGCTCAGTGCCACATTTCCACAGCCTGTGGCACCACTTGTGTGGTTTTGGGAGTAAGAAACTCTGTGGGGAGAGGGGAGCCAGGGTGAAGGAGGCAGAGGCACAGCAGGGACAGTTGGATGAAGATCCCGGGGGTTTCCCAAGGCTGTCAAGGCAGGAGCTGGTGCTCTCATGGCAGAAAGCTGTGCCAGGGGGGTTGGGATGGATCTCAGGGAAAGGTTCTTCCCCCACAGGGTGCTGGGGCACTGCCCAGGCTCCCCAGGGCAGTGGGCACGGCCCCAAGGCTGCCAGAGCTCCAGGAGCGTTTGGACAACGCTCTGAGGGACAGGGTGGGACGGTTGGGGTGTCTGTGCAGGGCCAGGGGTTGGGCTGGATGATCCTTGTGAGTCCCTTCCAGCTCAGGACATCCCATGATTCTGTGATTAGACCCAGCTTTTCCTGAGTGCCCCTGGTCAGACCCCGAGCTGGGAAGTCCCTCCCACCCCCGGAGTTCCTGTCTCACGGTGGCAGCTCCAGCCAGGACCCCCCCAGTGACAGGACACCTGCAGAGGTGTTTTGAAAGCAGCTCTGCAAGCGTTTAATCTGATGTTTGCTGACATAACTGGTGCTTGAAAGCCTTTGTTTGATCGAGCAAACAGGTTTCTAATCCTCTGTGGAGGAAACTGAGCCGGGGGAAGAACTAGTCCAACCTGAGCTTTACTTTGAAAGCCCAAAAGTCAGTTTGGTTTCATAGAAACATTGCCTGGAGTGGGAGGATTAATGACTAATCGTGGTTTCATTAATTCTAATGCTTTCACTTTCAGTGGGGAGTTCATCTAATGGGAGTATCATATAATTACACAGAGATCAGCTCTGCCTCCTGCAGAGAGCTGGGGCAGAAAAAGGGAATTCTGGGGGAATTCTGTCTGGCTGAGATGAGCTGGAGGGGCAGAAGGAGGTCCTGGTCTCTGAATCAGACCCCACACTCTGGGCTGACAACCAAGGAGCAAACAACCAGGGATTTCCACAGGGCATAATTTGTGATTAGGGGTGAAAAGTGCAGAGGAAACAGGACTTCATGGCAGTAAATGTTGCATTTATTCAACTGGAATCAGCAGCAATCTCCACAGACACAGCCTGGCTGCGTCCCACTCAGATTTAACAATGCATCTGTATCTCATCTCTTGTCATAATTATAAATAGAAATATTTTAATTAATTTAAGATATGAAATATTTTAGTTAATTTAAGATATTTACATTTCAAAAGCTAAGTCGTGACAAAGCTAAAATCTAGGTGAAATTTCTAAGGCTACAACAGTCAGTCCCCAAAAATCTACAAATTAGTATAATTTTAAGCCTTTTTCAGAAAACTGACGTTAACACTGAAGGGCCTTGCAAACTGCAGCTCTGTAGAGCAGAATTTTACCTTTTCGTGGTCTTTATTCTCTGTTGATTGTGCAATAGTTTAAAATACTGCAATGCTTTAAAAAAACCCACTTTCCTCAGCATCTGCATTATTGGCAGTTTCCTGTAGTATGAAAATAATTCTGGCAATAGTGCAAAGATTCGTCTCAAGATGAGAGAAAATGCTGAAAATAATTTATTAAAGAAACATTTTTCTAGTATTTATAAATATTCTTCCTTCATCAGTGGACAAACAGGTCTGTGAGGACCCAACTTCATCTGTCAATGCACTTTTCCTGTGCTCAGGTGTGGGAAGTACAACCCATACAAGCCTTGCTGGACCTGGTATAAGTGGGACTTTCTTCTCAGGCAAGAGATGACCTGGAGAGAAAAGGACAAAATTAATGGCAAAAATAGGAATCTGTGCTTTGCCCATCATTAGATGCCTCCAAACTACATTTGGAGGGTGGGAATGGAGGGACTTTGGGAATGAGACATTTGTCTAAAGCTGCAAGGATGACACTGGCACAACCCCCAGCTCTGAGGTGGAGGTTTTTCCTCTCCTAAATCAACCTGGCTGGAATTTTCACTCCTGAACCTCTAAGGAGAGTAATTCTTATTCTCTGTAGATATAGCCCTTCCCTTTAGCTGCTGCAAAGCAAACAGCTGCTTTTGAAACAGTGCTGTTAAGATTTTGATGCCCATTAAACCACCCCCAGAGATGGGAAGGGGGGGTACTGACTTTTCCAAGGATATACAGCTGGAGTTTGGCCCTGCAAGGCTGCACAGTCTGCAGGTTAAGAGCACTGAGCACGAAATTCTTGATGTGGTTATGAAATATGTTGTCTTTGGCCCTCCCTTGCCTGTAACTTGATCATTCTGCAGATACTGAAGAGGGAAGAGGTTTAAGAAGTGCTGCAGGGGATGCCCTAATTCCACCTGTCATCTTGGGCTTGGCCTCACCTTTGGGTTTCTCTTTTTCTCTCTGCAAAAACTCGAGCTCAGTCATGATCCTGCTGCTTTTCTAGAAAGAAGATCCTGCTTCCTTTCCTAGAAATCTACTCAGCTGACTATAAATTCCCTTCCCCATCCTCCTGTGCTCAAGTCCTTGGAAGAGTTGGCAGTAACAACAGGATTTGGCATCTCATTTGCTGTTGGGGTGTTAAATACTGTTCCCACTGGGCTTCTTGGGAATGTGAATGTCCCTCCTGTGAGTCCCCAGGTGTCTGGGCACTGCTGGAGTCCAGGGAGAGGTAGGACACTCACCAGGAAGCATAAGAAGAGGAGGAGGATGAAGCCAAGCAGGGTGAAAATGCAGATGAGGATGATGGCCCAGAACTGAAGCTCTGCAAAAGGAAAATAAGAGCACATCAGATGTTTGGACTCATCCACAGGGGATTCAGAGTGGGAAATCTCTCCCTGGCAAAGTTCAACAGCGCTGAGGCCAAATTACAGAAACTTGGGTAAAATGGAGTGAGGGTCTGAGGATCTACCACTGTAAATGTGACAGTCTGAGCCCTCAGAGGGTTTCAAGGATGTTCAGAGAGACAAAGTTCTCTCTTAGCTGCTGGCTGGACTCTTTTGGGGAAGGGGACAGGGCTAAGGGTGGCAGCAAAAGCTGTCATTTTGCCAATGTGTTTGTGGTGCACAAAAAAGCAACACTTCAGAGTACTTTTTTTCTTTCTCCTGTTTACTGTTAGCTCTGGGGTGGGGGCTGTCTTTACAACACCATATCTGGGGATTTTTAGGGGTTTTTTTTATAAATACTGCAGTTATAAACATTTATTGGTGCCAGAGCTTTAAAACATCTTCCCACATTGGACTGGTTTTGCCTGTCCTTCATCTCCTCAGGCTGGCTGGCTCTGGTGGTACCCACTGTTTGCTGCCAGCCTACCAAGAGGCCCAGATTTTGGGTCTCTTCCATGGGTTTAGTTTCCATTTCAAGGGTCTAGTCTCCATTTCAAGGCATGTAATGCTAATTTATTCTAGTTCAAGTCTGCAGTGGCTGTAGGGTCAATCCCTTCCAAAGAGCACTTACCAGATCTTTCAGACTCTGGTTCATTTGTCTTGAGTGGAGAATAACCTGGAAATAAAGAATGAGACAGATGAGAAAGAGAAGCCTCTGGAGCTTATTAAAACCAAGAAGAATCCCCCAAATGTCACTGCAGAGCTCTCACCTTCAACAACCAGACTCTGCTCCTCCAGCTCGTAGCTGGGGCCCAGTTTGGTGAACCCCTGGGTCAGTTGTTTCAGCTCCTCAAACACCTCTTGCTTTTGTAAAGACCCTGAGAGGGGATCCAGGGTGAACTTGCAGATGGAGAAGACTTCTGTGTATCCTCTCCCATGGACAGGCCTGGAGAGTGACAGGCACAGAGTCATTATGGAGAAGAGAGGAAGAAGCAGAGCTGAGTGGGAGATTCAGGTTTGCAGATGTCTCAGCAGTGTTTTATTAGCAAGGGATCACTTTTTGAGTTTATTCCAGGCAGACGGGAGCTCTTGCAGCCTTGTGAAACCACCCACTGAGTTAATCCCCATTTCTAAGAGGTAAATCAACTCGGCTTCTTTGTTCCTCCAAAGAGGTGTTGGAGGAGACACACACAGCAGATCCTGTCCTTGGGCAGGGTCAGTCCCACTCATTGTTTTGCTAATGTGTGTCTGTGGAATTTTAGTGTATTTGAGTACTTGAAATAAGAGAATGAACGTGTTTGTTTTCCTCCGGAATTGTTTATGCTGTGCAAGCACGGAAACAAAACCACCTCTCGTTTGGACAGAAACCTTTTGTGGTAAAAGCAGAACTTGAATGAAGGTGCTTCCTGTGTGTGATCTGGAGCACAAAGGTCCCCAGGGAGGCGTGAACACCCTGCTGTGACCCTGAATGCCTTCCTGAACTGCTCTTTGGGGCTCAAGGAAAAGCCACTTCCAAGCAGGACTTACCCAAAACTCTCCACGGTACAACCGGCAAAGTGCTCCTTCAGGCGGCCGGTCCTGAACACATCGAGCTGACAGGAAACACAAAACAGTGGAGGAAAACAGAGTCAGTTGAACACATCCTTTGGACAGGGAGCTCGAGCTACTGCTGCTCAGTTCACCTCTTTCTCGATGTTCTCTTTGTTCACTCGGTACACGTGTGACCCGGGGTCCTGCAGCTGTGGCGAGAAGGGCAGGCTGGAGATCTGGAAATTCAAGCCAAAGTTTTCTTTCCCAGATTTGAGGGGTGTTTTGTAAGTTGCTGCCTCAATTGCTAATTCCAAGGCTGGAAAATGGAGGGGAAAAGTCAGTATAAATTCTAACAGAGAGAAACTGGGGCTCTTCTACCAAAGACTTTCACTAGTCTGACAGGAAATTCCCAATCAGTCCTTCAGCCACTCCTTTATTCGGGATGCTGTACGTTGGAAAAAACCCCTGAAAGTCTGTTTATCTCTAAATGGTTGAAGTTCTGATGAATAGTTGCCACTTCATTTTCTAATTATTTAATATTGAATAACACCTTAAAAATTAATAACACCTTAAAATTGAATAACATTTTAAAATTGAATAACACCTTAATATTGAATTACACCCTAATACTGAATAACACCTTAATATCGAGTAACTACTTATCATTGAATAAGATCTTAAGCCACTGAAGACTCAAGGGCTACACTGAGCCAGACTAAATGTCTGAATGGCCCAACTTAGAGCTGAACTCAGCAGTTCAACTTAAAACCAGATTTATTTCCACTCTGATAGGCCAGAAATTGGGGAATTCTGATCATTCCATGGCAAAGTGAGGTGACTGGGTGGACACTGGGCAGAGATTTGAGCTCTACGTACTGTCCACTGAGAATTCCTGCAGCCTGTAGCTGCTCCCCAGCCACAGCCCAGTTTCATTGGAAGTCCCGTCCTGGAAGGTCCTTTCAACCACGGCCCTGTTGATGTTGGGTTCAGGGTGGAAGAAACACTGGCAGTCGACCACTATGGATCCAGCCCTGTGGGCAGAGGAACAGAGGTTCTGTGGTAAAGAGGCTGATGATCACAAAACTTCACGTGGGAAAGAGTTTCCTGAAAGGTTCCTGCTCTGTTTGGAAGTAACGGGGTGGAATGATGGCGTGGAATGGGCTGATGGGGGGGTTTGCCTTGGGCAGGGACAGCAAAGGAAATACCACCTGTTCTCTCTAGGAACTCAGGCTTTACTGCATGAACACAATGAAAGATCAGCAGTTTGGGGTTTTTAAAAGCTTTTACCCTCTGGGAGGCTCCCTTGTCCAAGCCTCTTTCCACCAAGAGCTGAACACTACGGCTATACCTGAAGCCCACTTTTAAAGCCTAGTGGAGTTCAAGTGAAGAGGGGGAGTGCAGAGGTTACAGGATCATCAGTTCCCATTAAGAGGATGGGAATCAGTAATTCCTGGGATAGTCAGCAACCTGAGAATGCCTGACTGAGACTGAGAAAAATATCAGTTTATAACAAGTCAGAAAAAATTCAAACCGACAAATGAAGCCTGGAAATGACTTCTTAGGGCATAACGTTCCAACATGAGAAGGAAGGGGAGGAATTCCACAGGGGACAATGGCACTTGGCCATGGGGGAGGGGTGCCAGGGTGTGGCAACCCTTCAGCCACACTCAGATCCCACCCCAGACCTCAGGCGGGTGATGTTGCAGCCCAGGAACTGGCCCCGCAGGTCGCTCTGCCGGTACAGCTGATTCATCTGCAACACAAATGTCATGGTAAAGATTCATGAGCCCAGGGCACTCTGCAAGGTGCTTCAGGCCAGCAGGAGGGACTTGAATGCTGGGGAAAGCCCAGGCTTTGGGGGGTTTTTTTGCTGGTTGGATTTCATGGGAGTTGGTTTTGACTTTGGAACGTGCCTTCTAGTGATGGAATCTGACTCCCAGCCTGGCAGATCTTCTGCCTTATCTGAGCGAGCTGCCAGTGTTAAAGAGCCCAGTCTGCTGACTGGCAGCTGTCAACTCATGCACACCTCACACACCCAGAATTCCAAGTACAGTGTGTTACAGTTTCACCTAAAGAGCAAAATTAGGGTGTGATCAGTCTGGTAGGTTGGGTTGGGGCTGAAGGGAATGTGTTGGATTCTCAGCAGTGAGTTATGGGTGTGTTGACTCCGAGCTGGCAGGGATTTGCAAACACTTCTGGAGATGGGACTGAAATGCTGAGTCCCTGTGCATTGAACAGATCACCCAAACCTCCTGTATTTCATTGTCCATGTCTTTGGCTGGACATAATTTATTAATCCAGATTCCCAGGATTGTTTAGGTTGGAAGGGACCTTAAAGATCCAAACCCCTGCCATGGGCAGGGATGGCACCCTGTTGCATGTGCAACATCCAACATAACAAAAAGTGATTCAAAGGTCAATCTCATCTTTCAGATTCTAGAAATTTTTGTTCCTAAACGTTGATTTTTTTTTTTTAATTAAGACATAAAACTATGGCAAAAAATTGACCAAACATGGTGGTATTTGAGCTGCAATTCCTCACCTTGTTAGTGATGCTTTCCACTGCTGCTTTGTACTCTGGAGACTGAGAGTCTGGGTTAGTTAGATTTTCATTGACTATTCTAAAGCTCAGTCTGTAGCCCTGTTTGGCTGGAGCTTCAACAAAGACTGGCTTTCTGGTGGTAGCTGTTTCTGTGAGGGGAAAACCTAAATAGAAAAGACAGAGTGCATTTATTTTTACATCAGATCTATCCATACCATAAAAACAATATATGTGTGGCTCTGCTTAGATTATATAATATAATAATGAAATTCTCCAGGAATTTGTATGATTTAAGGGTTGGAGATGTTTCTAGAATGGCAAGATGCTGCTGGATTGGTTTTGCCACAGTGTCAAAACCTACAGAAAACCAACAAACCAGAGGGTTCCTCGGTGCTCCAGCCCCAGTGGAGTGATGGGGAGTGATCTTCAAGAGATCCCATAATCCTGATCTGTTCATGGATACTCACCATTGACATACAGGCTGTTCTGGTCCAGGCTGTAGTGCCCCAGTTTGGTGACACCCTCTGTCATGGTGCTCAGCTCCCGATAAACCTGTTCCCTGTCAAACCTGGCCAGGCTGGCACTGTCCTGGTAGCTGCAGATGGCATCTACTCCTGTGTCATCCCTGTGTCTCCCAGACCTGAGCAAAAACATCAGACACATTCTTTAGGACACTCTGTGTGATTTGTATGACCAGGAATGACACCAAAATCACTGTAATTGGGCTCCTACATCTTTCACCACACTTTAGAATTGTGCTGATGACATTTAGATCCCAAAATGATTTTACTATCATGAATGGACAGGGAGGTGTCCACAGGGAGGCTTCTCTATTCTGACATCAGAGCAAGTATGATAATTTATGCAAATTTAAGGTATGTAAGAGCAGATAAAGGTTATTTCCACTTTCAGGAGTCTTTTAAGGTACTTTCAGATACTTTTAGTATCAGAAAAATAAAGATACTTTCAGTATCTTTATTAGGGAGGTATCAGGGGGCGGAGCCAGACTTCTCTTGGTGTCAAGTATTAAGATGCAACAGGCAGGAACTGATGCCCAGGAAGTTCCACCTGAACATGAGGAAGAACTTCCCTGTGCAGTGACCAAGCACTGAGAGAGGGTGTGGAGCCTCCCTCCCTGGAGATATTCCAGAACCATCTGGACACACTCCCGTGCCATGTGCTCCGGGAACACTGTGGGCCCTTCCAACCTGACCCATCCTGAGATTCTGAGTCTTACCTGAACCTCATAGTTTTACATCCTGTGTAGGCAGAGCTTACGCTGCTTCTTTTGAACAGAGGGTCAATCTGTCAGGGGAAACAATAGTACAGCTGAGAACTGGAAATCGGGTGCTGAGCTTATGCAGGTGGATTAAGGGCAGCACCAAAACCCCAAATGGGCAAACCCAGAGCCAGACTCACATAGTGGTTGAGAACATTCACTGTGGAAATGAATTTGCGGGAAGTTGGGACATCCAGGTCTGGGGTGTACGGGAGGTTGGTCAGGGTGAAGTTAAGGGTGAACTTCGTGGTTGTTGGTCCTGATGCAGTAGTTGTGCTTGGAGCTGTAATCAAAGGGAAAAAGGATTATGAATTTATTACAAAAGAGTTACCTTCACTTTCAAAGACATTCCCAACCCCAGCATGTTTCAAGGCTACTCTGGATAATGTCTTCCCCTCTCAATAATCTCTTCCCCTGTTATTTTCTGAGGGCACCACTCCTTTGACACCTCTCCCTGGAGTGAATTCAGCAAACTACTTACCTGATCTCTGAAGTGGTTCGTTGTAACCTGGAAAGGAAATGCAAGAGAAATGTTATGTAAGAGAACCATCCACTTAAGAGAATGAAAGTGGAGAGGGGATGATTAAATGGATGACTTGGGAGTGAATCATAAGAACCTGCCCCCCCCCTCCCCCCGAGGGTGTGAATCTATTAAACAAACAAAGCTTAAGCAGAACAAGGTGCTTTTGTAAGACTGGTGACTACAATGAGAAAAGGGCCATGCCCGCTGTGTAATTAAATACTGGTGGGATAGAAAGCAGGTGAAATGTTCACGTGCAGGTGAATGACTGAGGTCAAGACTAAAATTAAGTCACTCTTCAATGCAATATAGAAATTAAAGTCTTAAAAAATGTCTGTGTGAAAAGATTTTAAAGCTTACACTTCATCTTACACAGAAAACTCCAGTGGGATCTTCTCCTTCAGGCCACTTTTTTAACATTGAAGTGATCCCTGAGACCCCAGGTGGTCCCAAACTGCTCAGTGCCCAGAGGAACAAGAAAATCAAACACTTACCATTGATATAGAGGCTCTTGCTGTCCAGGTTGTAGATTCCTAACTTGGTGATGCCACTTGTGACGTTCCTCAGTTCTTGGTAAACCTCAGCTGGGTTAAACTTGGGCACTTGGGAGCTGTTTCTGTAGCTGCAGGTGGTGTCTACTCCTGTGCTATCCCTCTTCTTCATTGCCCTAAGGAATTCAATATCATGAAACTTCTGTTATTAAAATTTTTTTTTTCTGATGTGATTAAAAAAACCCCAAATACATCTGACCACAGTCCTCAGATGAACTACAAATGTATGGTCTTACAAAGAAAAAGGCTTTGTAAGAAAAAGACAATAGAAAGGTGCATAGGAGCTTTATTATAGTGATGAAAACTACTTGAAAAGGAAAAGGAAAAGAGGAAAAGAAAAGGAAAAGGAAAAGGAAAAGGAAAAGGAAAAGGAAAAGGAAAAGGAAAAGGAAAAGGAAAAGGAAAAGGAAAAGGAAAAGGAAAAGG